ACTGATTTAATCACGATTAAAATCGTGATTATTTACGTAGTGTAACCGTGGTGTAAGTTATTCAAAGTCAAACTCAGGCGTACCCAAGTGACAAATATACATATTTTAGAGGGTTACCATATAATTTTGAGCAAAAAAACAAAACGCTGAATTCCTTGATATCATTTAATATAACCACTACTCCACCTATGTACATGACGATTTATTTATTTGTTTTGGATATTGATTAAGGAACATATGTTTTAGTGCAAAAAAATCTTTTTTTAAAAGTCTATTGACGTCATAAACGTTGTTGTATATCTATCAGAAAAATTAAATAAATTTTACAAGGATTTTATGTACTGTCAACAGTTATTGCCCATCCAAAAAAAAGAATGATATATAGATGGTTTTTGCATAATTGCACAACCCGGACCAGATCCAACAGCATCTTAACCCGAACCCGAGCCGATCCTAGAATCGGATTAGGTTGCAGGACTCTAGTGAAAGCTGCGTCCCCCTAACTCTTTCCGTTTTCGAGTTATTCAAAAATATCTATATACCATTCTTGTTTTGGATGGACAATATTAACGGTCATTTTTACCATTCACAAACGATTTGATGCTATTGATAAGCAAGTAAGCAAAAAATATAATTTTATTTCATTTAGTCAGACATTCTTAGTGTCATAAAACATTTTACAAAACATACGGGTTTCTAATCAATATATATACACACACTAAAAAGTCAGATAAAATAAGCTATAAAAATTATAACAGATTTAAATGAACGTAAATTATTTGTAAATATTCTTATATTGAGTATATACATGAAAGATAGCGGTAGTGAATCTTGATCATCATGACACGTACGACTCCAAATGGCATTTGGAGTCGTACGAAACGGCAGCAGATATAGAATGATTAAAACGTGTAGAAAATTTAGAAACTATTAATTTTCTTTGAATGAAGTAGAAGAAGATGGTGAAAAGTATGATAGAAACTGTCAAGACCAAGATTTTCTGAAGTGAGGAAATTAAAACTCTTAAAATGTTCAGCATCAATAATGTCATTACAATCAAATATTTGTGTTATTCCATTTACTGTTAATAAATGAAACGACATCAAGTCATACTGAGAATACTACATTAGCTTAGATTCTACTGTTTTTCTAGAAGACTTCGGAGATACAAACAGATTTTGAACCACATTATCATTTAAAGCGTCTGAAATAGCATATATCTTGGGCTGAATTCACTTTGAGTGAATTACAAATTTTTCAGTGTTATATGAAAATCGCCTGATCTACAGGCTTCGTATTTGCCTGAGAACATCCTGTAACAGCCTTGTTTTTGTATGAGAACATCCTGTTTTATTCTGTTTTTCTTGTATTTTGAATTCTTTCTGCAGTCTTACTGTTGACTGTGGTAAAATCTGTCTTTGCTTCTTACGTGAATCCAATCAGCCAGTTAGACAAGTATTTTTATTTTATTCAGTCAAACAAGCAAAGAGCAGACTAACAGAAATGACGTTTACACCAAAGATCAGAATGTCCTCATAAAGACTGACTGTATAAATTCTACACACTCATGTCGTGAAATGTTAAACGAAAGAAGTAAAAAAATGAAAGACAAAGAAAAAATGAAGAGTAAAGAAAAAGTAAAATGAAGTATGATGTTAGACATGGGCGGGTCGGGACCAGGGATCACAAACTGATCCCGTAAAAGCAAAACTTTTGTTGTAGAATCAAATTTTAATGTGAGTTTCAAACTCGTTTTTCTATCAAATTTTTTCTTGCAAGGCCGTACAAAGCCTACAACGCTGTACAATAGCAAAAAGCCGCATTGAACATTCCCCCAGCGACGGAACATTTTTTCGTGTTCGATAGCCAAATTTGTCATCGGAACCAAACAATTAATTACGGGACCGGGACCAGAAAGACTACTATCCGTTCCAAAATACAACGCAGGGTGCTATTTTGTGAATAACTCTTTCATCTTGATAGACAGCGACCTGCGGTTTTCAGTAATCGAAAGTAGACACTTTTCAGACCAACTTTCCATAAGCACAAATCAGTTTTGAATTCATAATCCAGTCAAGATCCATCCAAATTACGTCAAAATGTCAAGATGTACTCTATTTTACCTGCCATCTATGCTTTTTTACTTGAGAATAGTAAAAAAACATTGTTGCACTTCGGAAGATTTCTAGAAAACCTTGTAAAAAACCAAAGTAGTTTCTATTGACTTTTATAGCGTTTATTAAGCTGCATCATATAGAACAGGTAAAATATAGTACATCTTGACATTCTGACGTAATTTGGATGGATCTTGACTGGGTTATGAACTTTTTAATTTTACTCAAAAATGGGTTATTTCACCTAATATAGGTTTTCACTAGGTTTTTGAAAGTGTTTTGAAAAATAAACATTGCCACGATGATCAGCATAGTCGATAACCTATGTCTCGACTCTTTTTGAAGTCTTCAGAGGGTAAAAAGCGTAAAACCTGGTGGTCCGCGGGAAATCCGAGCCATTCAAGAACTAGCGAAAAACCGAATGTCGCTTAGATTCAAATTTGTAGAGCACACTTCGAACTATATATTCATCGAAACAAACCCTCTAATCTCCATGTAAACAACAATAATAATACTGGACGGATAATTAAAAAAGACATAAGCTTGATATACGACTATCTATGACTGTTTTAATGCTGTATAACGTTTTTTAAATAAGATCAAGTGAATTTATAGTTTATGTATAGCAATACATTATTTAACACATTGCGATAAATCTCACGTATCATTTTTCTGTATTCGCTTATTTCCTGTACTTCTGAAAAAATTTATTGACTTTCCTGTTTTTCTAAGGAAAAAACTCCTCTTCTGTTCCTGTTTTTTGAAAGCCGATAGTACGAACTCTGGACCCTGATAATTTGATCCAGTAGACTTTAGAATAGATTTTTACTGCACTTTTAGAATGTTTAATAAATACCAACATTATCACGAGGCTCGGTACCGTCTATAATCGATACTCCAGTTACTTTTGAGGTTTCTAAACTTCAAGGTCATCAAATGGGGATGCATTAAAAGTCTACGTACACCGGAACAATGCTAGATAGAGGTCTTGGACTTGCGTAGATTTGTAGAGAAGATATTAATCAATCCAGGCATGCCTTTCAGATCAAAAATCTATGGGTTTGTTTTGAAAACTATGGTCTCCAAGATTTTGTCTGATGAGAAATAGTACGGCAGATCTGGGTTGTAAAGATTATCTTTTAATAAATCGATATTCTTAAAGTTTTACTTCGGACAGCGAAAACCTGAACGCTTTATCATTTTTCGTTATTTAAAAAATGATAGATTCCGCAATATTTTTAAAATAGTCAAATTCGAATGTTTTGTTCATGTGTAATTGTTTTATTCGTTTTCAGGTATTCAGTAAGTGGTGAATCCGTTATTGTAGGTCTGGTTGTGGAATAGGTAGATTTTACTAGTGATCTTTACAATTTTTCCAATTTTATTTCTACATGCACTGGTATTTCTAGTGATCGATACATAGTACCGATGAAACTTATCCATTTTATATTCTTTTACTGAGTAATGAGACAGTGGGTCGAATCTTTTCGTGCCTATCAAAGGTTTTCTTTACTACTAGGTAGAGGACTAGACAACCTTCTTTTACTTCAAGTCTTAGCATTCTGGTTAGTTGTAGTTTTTTACCTCAACATCTTGCGATAGTTAAAAAACTGGATTCTAGTTTGAAAATCAAATAAATTCATAATTCGTACGATCATATTTTCTCATTTATTTGGATATTTCTTCAACAGATACAATCATTGCGAAGAAAAAATGAATATCCAAGACAAGTTGTGTACTGCAAAACATTCGCTTCTATTGCTTTTCTCTGAGTGTTTTGGGGCTCAGCATAAACTCTTTCTCACACGTTGGTTTCAAATGTTGTCATTGGCTAAAAAATTAAAAATGCTATGACTTTGTGAAAACGTATCGATAGTTCTAAATAATATTCTCTACAAATTGATACTCTTCAAATGTGGTATATTAAAAAATCTTAATTGATCTGTGGAAACCTAATGTCTTTTTAATACTTTGTGATCAGATACCGTTGCACGTATCGAAGCAGACAATTATTGAGTATTTCCTAGAACTTATGTGTATTATATTTTGATGATGTTCGATCCCTCTGATTATAGCTTAGTAGTTAAATTTTCTGTTGAAATAGAGTTATTTTCATCTTCATTGTCACTACCAGCTAATCTGACAAATATTTGTTCGAGTGTTGTGTGCGTTACAGAATAACTTTCGATTTCATTTGACAATTTTTTATCGTAAAATAATTTGAAAATATCGGCTAGTTTGAAATTGTTAGTTATGGAAGAATAGGGAATTGTACAAAATAATGTGCCATTATGATATTCTAAAAATGAGTATAAGATAGTCAGATTTAACTCCGTAAAACTAATAAATACTACCGTCAAATTCTATTCCTGATAAATTTGTTTGAAGATTATGTTTGATATTTTCTATTTCATTTTCATCGGCTATCTTTATTTGCACAGCATAACCAGTTCCAAATTTCGTCCTCAAATCATTTAGTTTACCAACACATAAAAACTGGCCTTGAGCCATAATTCCAAGACGATTACACAATGCCTCACATTCTTCCATGCTGTCAAAAACAATAAACCTTGTTTAATCCCTTAAAAATCAAGGACTTTTCTACTCGATTTTGGCAAACTGGTGATACTATGGCTTATGATATGACGAAATGATGGCAGAAATAGTTTTTTTGAAAAAGTCAATATTCAGATAAGCAACACCAAAATATCTGCTAACAGAATCTATAATTTCTTTAATTATATTCAAAGTTTTCTGCAGGAATTTTTAAAAGTCTTGACATAACAGATCTTCGGAAAGTGTCTAACAATAGTTGTGTCCACAATATTTTCTATAAGTCATTTTTTCAATAATGGGTGATTCCATGCGAAACCTCCCACTATATGTAAAGTGTTGTTCAAACTCGATGAAACTTTCAGCGTTTATTCAACTATCCTTCGTGACTATTGAAATATATTTGCT